GCAGAACAAATTAGACAGCGTTCCGACAAATTAAAATGCTGCCCTTGTCAGGATGATCAGGACTGTGTTCCCATATTATTAGGGTCTATGACAGCCCCACGTCTCCTTCTTCCTCTCCACCACCCACATTAGGCAGGCGTAACACTCATCCCCTCTGACGCATGATAGGTGCGCACGCGGTGACATATGTGGCAGTGATTAAATTGCATTTCATCGTTCTTTCCTGCTGGTTTCACTGAACACATCTGTCATATTTTGACACGAAACATACAAATCACAAACAGTTAGGGTTGTCGTTCTTCTTCTTTTTTCTTTTTTTTGTCTTTCCATCCGAGCGCACTTGGTTTAAAAGTATTGTCGCATCTAATCTAGGTGACTATTTCGCTCATATAACTTAAAGAGTCAAACATAAAGTAACTGAGTTGTGTTCACTCATAGTGTAACGCTGTCACTCAAAAGTTCGACTTGTAATATTTATGTTTTTATTTTATTTTTTTGTCATATTTTTTATTGCATTTTAACACCTAAAACTCTAAAAAAAAAAAAATATTTTATATAATATCTAAACTAACTTTGAATTGAAGCTCAAATGGCACAGTTGGACCAGTGTGGCAGATGTTTTTTCTCCATTTACAGTATTGCATCCTTACAGTACAGCAGCAGTGTACAAAGAGCAGTGAGAAGTATAAGGAAACAAAAAAAAAGGCGCTTCCTTTCTTTGCGGATCAATATAAGCGCAGCATGAGCCGAACAGGAACCGACATCGACGCACTGTTGTGGAGCTGACCTTTCCCACTCTCCATGGGTCATACCTTCGCTCAGCCGCGGAGGTCAGCGCTCCAGCCACTAAAGGAGACCATTTCAGCAGCTGAATATTCACCTTATATCACCCATGCGCCTCTTTCAATTACAACATTTTCCATTTCATAAAGTAAAAAGAAAAAAAATGTTAACCAGGAATAAAATGTGTGTTTTTTTCCTCTTATTTTAAAATGGTAAATACCATGCATTTATGTGGCTTGGCATTTTCACTGGCTTTTAACAGATTTTCGTTGGGATCAGAGTTTCCTCCCCGGAGATCCATAGCAGCCCGTATTATTTACTGTACATGCGCTCTGTGAGCCAAGTAATGTGAGCAGCTTGTACAACAAGAGACAGCGTCGCCTGCAGTCAAGCATCTCCGTGAGGCAGTGCCACTTGCTGCTGCTGCTGCTGCTGCTGCTGCAGAGAACCTGCCCGCAACAGATAACAAGTCCCCCACGTCTGCATGCGTAACAAGAATGCAAAGCACTCATTCCTATAAAAGCATGCGCAAATTATCGAACAAAAACAGCCTCAAAGCGACATCCATTCTCCTTCTATTTATATAGTCTTAATTTTGGTCTATTTTGAATACTTTCTAAAGAGCCATTTGTTCGAATAAAGGGGGAAAAATAATGTTCCTCTGCAATTATGTTGAATCAAAGCAAAACCTCAAAAGAACATATGAAAAAATATATATAGTTTACAGAAAACACGGTCAGCCATCAGGGTTATTTCAGTTCAATTACTTCAGTCATGAGTTTAGCAGATGCAATTTCAGGAACCTCACAAACATCCAATTTTTATACAACTGTAGGGGAGCTAATTCAATCAGAAGAAAGTCCTGGTTTATTCAACACCAATCCTATCCAGCCATTTAAAGGGAAACAAAGATATTGCATTATTCATCCTGCTTATAAAACACTACAATCAAAAGCAAATTATTGTAATGCAAACATAAAGAATGGTGAAAATAGAAGGATGAGGCTACCTGAGGCCACAAGACTTAGCCTAGTCAAGTTCATGGCTGTTTCAACTCAAGGCTCCAGTGTACTCTGATGTAGAAATGATTTATTCATAAGGAGCTGGGATTTTGAACAAACTCACCAACTGAAATAAAAAAAAAAAAAAAAAACTGGAGTAGAAATTTTTCTGGTTTAGACATGCATAGCATGCAAAAACGTTTTCTGAGTGTGCAAAATAATAATAAAAAAATCTGTTCTGTATGATTTTATTTTAATTATAAAAACAAAATCCAGCATTTAAGTTTTTTTTTATTATAGCTTTGAAATAACAAGCCTCCCCAAAAGCATGCACAGTTCATATAGTTTGTCAGTGTGCATGCTCTGCAAAGCTGCATGTTTGAGTAGAAACCTAAAACTTTCTGAACATTTTTGAGAGGCCCTAATTCATTCAAAAGAAGCTGCCAAACAGCATTTAACATCAAACCCCAGCAGCATTCCAGAAAAAAAAAAGATGACAAAAGAATTATTAAGCACTTGCAACACCTTTTTATTATATTTGTAAGCAGTAAAATTCTTATCACAATTAAAGGAAGGAAACACCTCTTAAAACTTTAAACAAAAAATTAGCACAGAACGAAACAACTGCCTGTGTTTTTAGCTCATCATTGTACATATTTATAGGCAAAGAAACATTCTTTTTATAAATACTGTTTCATCTGTAGCAAGTAAATACCATAATTTAATTACAAATGGATAAATATGGCAGCTGATATTTACAAAATAGGAAAAGGTGTGTGGGGTACAGACCAGAAAACAAAATAAAAATAAAACCAACCAAAAATTAATTGAAAAAACGGCACAACGTTTATTTGACCTCACAATCTTTCCAGATAGGTTTTTCTCTTTTTTTTTTCTTCACAATTCAAACTTGCAAAGCACAAAAAACATCACAAGTTAAGCCCCAGCAAACTAAAATATACATTCACGATCATGATTATTGTGGTTTGTTGGAGTTAGAAGGTTAACTTTGGCACTCTCTCCAGTTTATAGATGTTTTAGTATAGTACAATCAGTTTGCCTCAGGATCACAATAGTCAACATTATAGTACAGTTTTAATGGTAATATGTGCACTAAGATTCCAGTTAGAGAAACAGCTACCTGAAGGAACGTCTATACACCAAAAGACTTGACAAAACTACCACAACCAAATGAGAAGGTGGATTTTATTTTTTTAAGTTCCTATTTACAGTATGAAACACACCCCTCAGGTTTATCATACACATTTCCCCTCCGCTGGTTATTATCACACTGTCTGGTGAATATTAAAATAAAAAATAAATGTTTTTGTGTCCAAATAAGAAAACTCCTGTGGAAATGCCCAGTGCTGGGAAGTGATGTGTGTGTGGCTTTATTTTTTTGAGCTCAGTCCTACACATACCATTCACTGAAATTGGAGGACAGGCCACTGTGGCTGGTGGTGTTGTGCACAGCTGAGGCTGGGGACAGGGTTGTGTTGCTTTGGGTCTCGGTGGTGGGGGACACCAGGCCCGGGGGAGTGGACGATTCATAGCCAGAACTTGCAGCTGGTGATGAATCTGATGCAGATGGAGTGGATTCGTGAACCTGGCGGATGAAAGAATAAGAAGAAATCAAACATTAGAAGTTAATAAAAAATAAAAGCATGAGATGATTTGCAAAGAGATGCAAAAACTCTAAGTAATAGACATATATATTGTATAAGATGTTTACCTTCATGTGTTTTCGTAGAGAGCTGGGGTGTGTGTAGGACTTGTCACACATTTTGCACAAATATGGCTTGTCTGACGTGTGGACGTGCATGTGTTTCTTTCGGTCGCTGCTGTTTGCAAATCTTCTGTCACAACCCTCAAACTCGCACTGGAAAGGTTTTTCTCCTGCAGAAAGGAAACAACAAACAGATGCATCTGTGTCAAATGTTTTGAATGAAATCGCCTCGGGCATTGCAATTTTTGTGAGCAGAAAAAAACAAGACTCTTGTGCATAAAATGCAAACGTTAGAATCTTTTTTTTTTTTTTTTTAAGTTGAGGGGGTTGATTTTAAAAGCAGTTTGGATAATGGAGGGAAAAATAAGGGGGGGATGGAAAAGGAAGACTTATTTTGCCTAAATAATGCGCATAGTAATTTAGGAAAAGGGTGGGAAGGCCGTCCCTCGATGGGCCTTACACTAGGGGCATACCATTTGGTGCGAAGACAATAAAAATCTAATTAGCACACGATCAATTTCACGTAACCCCCCAAAAATGCGTCCAAATGCTAAAGAAGTGGCTGATAATGGCCCTGTCTAGCACCCCGGCTCCTATCAGAAGGGGCGCAAACAAAAGGCTTTTCCCTTCTACTGCAACCAGCAACTATAGATGCAGAAGTCGAGTTCCTAATATTTAATTAATAAAGCCTTAAAAAAAGGTCCCCTGTGAGGAGAGGAGCGCACTGAAGGAGATAAGCGCTATTAAACCGCGTTGGTGAACGAGCTGATGAGATTTACTATACCAGCCCCGTCTGCTCACGCAAAGCGCTCCTACTGTTCCCACTGACCCATTTCCACCAATGCTGAATAAAAGTAAACAGTATCAGATATCAGGAGAATACTATCTATATAGTCACAGTTGAGATCCAAAAAAAAGGAAACACATTTAAAGAGTTAATTATATAGATTTGACTCTAAATCTACTTTGTTACTTTGATTACTATCTATCTTAAGCATCCCAAAATACTCGCTCTTAATCAGATTCTGAGTGCTGTCAGTGAGACGCATTTAGATGACTTGGAAATAAAGGCTTAGACTAAATAAACAGTAAATAAAAATGCAGGATGTTTAAATTATTCTACAGTTTATTCATAGATGTAGGATATTTGAACCTATTATCTCTACAGGGGTAAAATTTGGGCCTACCTGTGTGTGTTCTTTTGTGGATCTTCAAGTTTTCCGAGCGAGCAAAAACTTTGCCACAGCCTGGGAAGGGGCAGGGGAAGGGTTTCTCCCCCGTGTGCACCCGAATGTGGTTCACCAGTTTGTATTTCGCCTTGAACGGCTTGCTCTCCCGGGCGCAGTCCTCCCAGAAGCAGATGTGGTTGGTCTGCTCCGGCCCGCCGACGTGTTCCACGGAGACGTGCGTAACCAGCTCGTGCATGGTGCTGAAAGTTTTGTTGCAGCACTTTTTGGGGTTGCTCAGCTGCTCCGGATCGATCCACTTGCAGATGAGCTCCTGCTTGATGCACTGCTGCCTCATGTAGCGGAAAAAGGCACCGGGGTGATGATGGTGGTGGGCTGCCATGTTCATGCCCATGTTCATATTCATGGAGCCGTACTGGTTGTGGAGCTGCGCGGCGGAGTACGGGTCGGTCCTCGGGCTGGAGACCTGGTGGTACTGCTCGGAGCGCCCGAAAACTTCACCCGGCAGTCCGAGCCTCATCTGGCCGTTCAGGACATTCGGCGAACCGTGGGAGCCGTGCTGATCGTGGATCCCGGGGAATAGAATGTGGCTTTGAGTGTCTGTGTGGGTGTGATGAAGGGATCCTGCCGTGGGGCCAAAAATAGCGTGCTGGCCGCTCGCCGGAGAGGATTCTCCGAAGCCGCGGCTGCGGAAGAGAAAGTCCCTGGTAGAGTTGAAGGGGGAGCTCGCGTACGACGTGACATGAGCGGCGTGGGCCCCCAGAGCCGCAGCGGGGTAGCCCGGTGCCTGCGTGGTGAAGGCAGAGCTCTGTCCCGGAGAGAGATCGTGGTTGAGCTTGAACGCACCCATGTGTGCGGAGTCTACAAAGCTGTTCTGCGCCAAACTCAAGTCTCTGTCCTGCATGTCGCTCGCTGAGTGATGCCTGGCAAACGAACCCACTCCCAGTCCCGGGAACTGGTGGCCAGCATCCAGTAACATTGTTATTTTGCGTTTAAAAACCAAAACAGACTTCTTTTAAAAATTACAAAATAAAAAAAAAAAGAAAAAAAGATCAAATGTTGGCACGCAACAATACAACTTCCAGCTTTAGAAACACCATCAGGCGTAAATCGAATGCGCTTCTCCGCTCATAGCTAAAAGATACAAACCTAACAAACAATAAAATAATTCATTAATTACTTGGAATCGAAAAATCCAAACGAAAATGAAAGATTTCCTTGTGTCCTCTTCTCCTGACTACGACCCTTTGATGTTTTACTGAAAATAAAAGTAAAAAAAATACAGTTAGGATTAAAACAGTTATCTTACTAGGCGTCTTCTGCGCGCGCACAAAGAGAGCGGTTGGAGCATCTCAAGAATAATAATAAATAAAATAAAAAAAATCACCGCGGTCCAGTTTGGGCACGGATTTATTTCTCTGACTCGGAGTGAGCGCTTTATCGGCGGAGAGTCCCTGTTTCTCCGTGGACTGGCTCTCCCTCCTCTTCTGCCCCCTTTAACTGGAGCCCGTTCGCTCCTTTCGCGCAGTCTGATTGGCTGCAGCGCCTCATCAATCCCAGGTGCCCCTCCAATGGCAGGTAGCGCTCTGGCGACTTAATAGCTCAACGCCATTTTTCCAAGCAAACGATTACCGCCTACTTTTTAGGGGAGAAGATTTTCTCTCTTTTTTTTTCCTGTTTCTTTGAACAGGCTTAGCGGATCACGACAAGATAGAGGGGACCGATTTTTTTTCCCCTTGTTGTTGATATTTTCTGGGTGTTATGCTCTGATCATGGCAGTGAATGAAAAACTATTTATTAGGCAAGAAAATTGTGATTTATTTATCTCAACTTACGTAAATGTGGCAATGTGTGTTTAGACGTGTATTTTAAAAGTTAAAAAAGTCAG